TCATTGGGCCATCGGAGGGTCCCTGAGCCCCAGTTTCAAAAGCAATCAGGCCCCGTCTATCATGGCCCAAAATCTATTCACATAAATACGACATCATAAATGAATCTTTCATTAAATAAAAAATCATATCTCACAAGTATATCAACGAAAGTATGTAGTAATGGAAAAGAAAAGAGAAAAAACAAAAAAGTGGTTAATAACGACGACTGTTGTGATTGGGGGATTTTAACGTGAGATAAAGTTCGTGTGTGAACTGTTATTTATATATATTTTTTATATATGTATATTAATGTATGTTAATATTGATTCTTATAAAAAAACTTAAAATTTTAATTTATATTTAAAATTTTAAATTTAAATTTTAAATTTTAAATTTATTATATATTATAATATTATTATCACATAAATGATTTGGAATGATTAATTAATTAATTTATTTAAAGTCAACAATTATACTTTTCATGTAAATTAATTATAAAAACATTAATTATAAAAAGATGTATTAATTATATCTCTTAACTTTAAAAACACAAGCTAAAAATTCCTTCATTTTAATCCTAAATTAAAAATTTTAAATAGATACCTATTAACTCGCCAAAAGTTTTGTTGGATGTTTTATTTTTTCTAAGCTAAAAAACTGCTATTTATATAAAAAATTAGCAAGATTGAATTTAGAAAGAGTGTAATGATTTGGTTTTTCCTACGTTAGCCTATTTTTAGTTTGTAAAGTTTTTTTTTTTTATCAGCAAAATGAATATTATTAAAATTAAAACAAGAATATAAGGAGTATCCAACCCTTTACATCTTGATAAGAAGCTCATTTTACATGACACAGTTAAGTCCCATTGCAAAACACTTAAAAATCCTTTTTCATTTACATGCTTCCCTGGGGTTTTCGAGCCACAGTTCTTTAGCCAATTCTGTATTTTGCTTGGCCCTAACCCAGTTTAATGAACGCAGCTTAATTTAATCCACCCCAATAGCATTAGTGTCATCACCTTCTTTGAAAATCAGTTGATTTCTCCACAACCAAATGGACCAAATAATTGTAAACCATATCACATATCAAATTTCCTTCAATTTCTTATTCTGCACCATACTCACATGTTGCTGCAGATGCTTCCAGCCTTCACACGTAAGGACAACCTGCAAGCCCCACCACGCGTAAGCTGCATGCCAAATTGCCCAGTAGTTTGTAAAGGTTTCTTATAAAATGAAATTCCTTCACTTACGAACTCCACGCTTGGAGCAGGCGTCACCGCCTGCCTTTCTGGATGTTCACCGGGGCTGAGGTCATGGGTTCGCACCCTAGCTTATCCCCCTCCCCCTTCGGAGAAAATTTAACAATAATTGTAATTGTCATCTTTAAAAAAAAAAATTCCTATGCCTATAATAAAAAAGGGGAAAAAAAAAATAAACGAAGTGTATAAAAAGAGAATCAAAGAGAAGCTAAATGATACGAAAATATTGTAGTTCAGGTTGTCCTCTCAAAAAAGTTTTTTGGGAGGATCTCTATACAAATTTATTTTTTAATTAATATTTTTAAAAATTATAATTATTAAATTAAAAATTATATTCATATAAATTATATATGTTAATTTTTATATTGACATAATACT